TTTTTAATTCTAAAGATTTCTAAAAAATTAAGAGGGATTTTAAATTAAAAATGGAATATCTAAACAAACTTGAAAAATAGAAAAAGTAATTTCTTCTCTTTAGTTTTTGTTAATATATATTAATTTAATTTATCTAATGTGTAGTAAAAGAGAAGCATGTATGTGGAAAATAAAATAGAGATTATAAAAATTTAAGAATATAAAATAAATAAAAGAGAAAAACATAAACACTTGAGCTTTTGGATCCAGTGACGTTAAGTTACGTATAAATACATTCTTCACCTTAGAGCAACGGTTCAAATCCGACCCCATGCGAATTTGTTAAAAAAAAAAAGCTTAGTCTAATAATTTGTTTTCAAATCTTAATGTTTGAATTTACTTAATTGAAAGTTTTGATTCTTATCAATTATTTTAAAAATTTTCAACTCTCATAATTCTCCATGTTAAAAAAAAAAAAGGAAAAAAAAAGAAGGCATCACTAACAATTGCGACCAGCCGTTTCCTCTAAAAACGGAAATCAATATGCCACAAATTTAGCAAATTCAAAGAGAAAACCAGCAAGCATAACAAGAAGTTAGCAACGCAGCACTCTGAGTTGAAGGTTAAATCACACTTCACACACGACGAGAAAAAGGAAAATATTAAATCACCAAGCCAATGAAAATTGAAAAATGAAAGAAGAATTTAATCAATATTCAGCTTGATCACAAGATGGAGAGGGCAGAGAAAGGGAAAAAGAAAAATGAAAATTGAAAAAACAATTGACGCAAAACTTTACCAAAGTCGAAGAACTGAAGAAAAGTTGAAGCAGTTGATGCCGAATAACGGAAGAATAAAAGATATAGGGCCGACGAACCAAGGCTGAAGACGAGTTAAAGTGGAAGTGAAATTAAGGGGGGAGCGAACGATTTGGTGAAGAAAACAAATGGGCTCGATCAATTGATGTCTTTTTTATTTTTTTATATTTTTATAAATCCATTAAAAATATAATATAGGTAATAAGAATAGGTAATAAGAATGGTGACGAAGAGAAGTAACAGAATGAAAATAAAAAGGGAACAAAAAATTAAAAAAAAAATTGCCAAATCGCGTTGGGAAATTGGGCAACGCATGGGACCAAATGATTGCTTCTGTGTGCTGCTCAAATCTTCCGAGCAGGGACGGAGTAAGAAGCCCTAGTTAGGGCCGGCTTGAAAATTAATACTAAATATTTGAGTTTTTAAAAATATATTTTTAATGAAACTAATTGATTTTTTTTAATTTTATTATAAAAAGATTCAATTGTAATTTTTTATTGTTATATTTTAAATAAAAATTAAAAATAAATGTATACATATTATAATGAAATATAAAAATATTATAGTGATAAATCATATAACAATTAATTAAATAATAAATTTAAAAAATATATTTGTTAACAAAACCTCTAAAAAATTAAGAGAAAAAAATCACAAAATTACATGATTTTAACCAATTTGCTTTGAAAAAGATTAAAATAACATATTTTTAAAGTAGAAATGAAAGTGTTTTAATTTTAGTGAAATAGTGTAATTTTGGCAGGGATGAAGCATGAAGCCAAACTTTTGGGTGGAGGGTGAAATTTTCCCCTCCCCTCCATTTCTCATATTTAGATAAATAACAAAATTAAAAGAAAAAATATAATAAGGGAATTTTTCCTCTCCCCTCCCCCCTCTATATCTTTTAATCCAAATATATATACTATTAGGTCTTGAATTTGATTCATAATGTTTACATACAAAAAAATTATACTAATTTTTATATTAATCACTAATTTTATAGGTAAATTAATACTTATAGTTATATAACATATATGCTAAACTTTAAATTATTTAAATGTGATTAATTATTTTTGAATAATATATAATTCAATACCCTTAAACAAATGATACAAAATAATAAAAAAAATGTTAATACGTTGGATCTAGAAAAAACTATGAAAAAAATATTTCAAAATTATATTATTTAAATAAACACTAATTAAAAAAATAGACTAAATTAGCATTTTTTAGGGTAAGAATAAAGCATATATTAGTATTTTTTTGTAATACTTTATTAAAACATCCTAATTTTGAAGTATTTTTCACTTTTTTTTTTTTTGCAAATCTAGTAAATAAGTAATAATTTCATGTAAAATATAATTTTTTTTGATATGATTACAAATATTAATAAACTGTCAATTAAAATATCAAATCCAATTATTGAATTGATAGAATATAAATTATACAAAAAATAACAACTAATGTAAAATCTATTTTCATACCCAAATAAAATTATTTGCTTTAAGAATTGATTATAAAGAAAGAAATGGTCCCTTTGCCTAGCTCCTAAATATTTTCTTTAAATTTAAAAGGCCCTTATAATTCAAACATCCAAAAACAAATTTTATACTAATTAAAAATTAATGTACTAGATTAAACATTTTTCAAAAGTTTAGGGGGGCGGCTGCCATCCCTTGTGCTATGGTGGGTCCGTCCTTGCTTTTGGCAACTTCCGTCTAGTTTAGGGGCTTTTCTGTCAAAAAAGAACTATGATACTATTCATAATTTAAGCGTGTTTGAAAGTTGGGGTCTTAACTTTTAAACTGAATTTTCTTTCTTATATATGTGTTCAATAATGCACTTACGTTTGAATTAAGCAAAGAAAATATTTAAATATTCTTATAAAATATAAAGTATTACGGTCGTGAAGTGTACTTAACTATAAAATATAAATAAATATAATACAAATAAATAGATATGAAGCCATGAAGGTGATCTTTGCACAATTGTTTTATAAGACCATCTAAAATGCAAGATTATGAAGAGATTTGTATTTATTAGTCTCAATTACAAAAAATTAGGTATAAAAACCCTCACTACCAACATCTTATTAAAACATTATGAGAAAAGATTAAAGTAATTTTTACTTTAAAAATAAATTATTT